GGAATATGGGAAAACTTCTTAAAGAAGGTGTTTGGATGCCTCACGAACTCTCCGATGATCATCGTTTCCAACGTGTGAACGTTGCTTTATCTCTTCTAGCGCGTAATGCGCGTGAACCATTTTTGAACAAAATTATCACCGGTGATGAAAAATGGATTCTCTATGCAAATATTAGATGCCAAAAACAATGGCTCAGTCCTAGACAAAAAACACTTCCGACCCCAAAACCTGGACTCCATCTGCAGAGAGTGATGCTTTGCATTTGGTGTAAAATCAAAGGAGTAATTCATTTTGAACTCCTCAATCCACAGCAAACTGTGAATGTAGAGATTTACAATCAGCAACTGGAACATTTAAATCAAGCCCTTGATCAGAAATGTCCTTCACTCGTCAGTCGGAAAGGTGTTCTTCTTCTCCACGACAATGCATGTCCACATTTGGCACATTTGATGCAACACAAGATTATGGATTTGGATTGGGAAATTTTCCCCCCACACACCATATTCTCCAGATATGGCACCATCAAATTATCGTATTTTTTGTTCGCTTCATCGGCACATCGGTATGTCTGCGGACTTACAACGCTAGAAACTGGGTTTCGATACCCGTGATGGGCAGAGCACAGATAATCCATTGGGTAGCTTTGTGCTTAACTTCAAACAAACAAACAATAACGCAGATCAGTCAAGACCTACATTCGAGATTATATCTTTAAAAAAACGTTCAGTATTATTTCTTTTAAAAGATGAAAAATAATTGCATTAGTTGTAGAATTGTGAATTTTAAGGATAAACGGACCGTAACATGTGACTAAGTATAGGTTATAGGCCTATAGTGATAAGTGTATTAGAAATAGAGCGTATCTGTTAGATACAGAACTGCTTAGCGTATTTTCCACGGGAAGTAGATTCAAATATATTATTTGTAACAGGAATACACTGCACACTATTACATAAAATTCACATGCTAACAAATGGTTCAGATACATTAGATTTTAGTCTGATTCATGTAACCAAACCCATGTAATGTATTATAAATAATTATGGAAACAATGAAAAAGAGTGGTATAAAATACAAATACTGAAAATAAACTTCACCATAGTAGATTCATATGTTGGAAGATTACAACAGTGTGGAAGTACAGACACGTACTATGCTCAGTAGCGTCAGTGTGAATAAATGACGTTCAGAACTGAAATACCACATGAAAAGTTTGTGAAAATAAATTTATTTGGCTAGTCATGGATCGGAAAGGTACACAATGGGCGATTTAGGCATTGCCCGCCACGGGTATTGAAACCCGATAGTAAGGGAATAAGCTCTCAAGCTTACAACTGATCCACTGCTGGAGCGAAGATGTGAGCAATATTTTGAAGAATGTGTATATATGAAACAGCATTGTTAATAACAGAAGTTGTCGAGGGCATCTAAAATTCTCTGAAAGTGATGTTAAATATTTCAGGGTATGTTCTTTACAAGATAGAGTACGAACTCGCTAACACAGTTGTTTTAAATATGGGCATGAATGTTACCTCGAGAACAAAAAGATATACGGTAGCTGATAGAAATCACTGTTGAGAACTGTACGAGGTTGAAATGAGAATTAAACATAAACAGTGGAATGAGACAAAAAAAAACTGAAGACTAGCCAAGGCACACAAGGGG